CAACAGAAATGTCTATTAAGAGGTGAGTAAATATCCTGTAATACAATTACACAAAAGAATATTACTCAACAATACAGAGGAATAAAGTACCAACTAATAGATGCAATAACATGGATGAATGTAAAAAAACCATGCTGTGTAAAACATGCTAACCCATTAGTAACACTTATCTGACAGCAGGAAGGCTTCAAAGAACGTGAGGGCATGAGGAAGATGTTCTACATGTTAATTGTGGTGGTTATTATACAAGTGCAATCATCTGTCAAAACTCATTCAGTTTACACTTAGAATAAATGCTTTCATACTTAAATTATACTTCCAAAGAGTTAAGAAGTTAGATATACCAGCAATTTGTGAACAATAGTTTAATTATCTGAAACAAATATTATTATTAATTATATAAATGAGTCATTACACTATGATAAAAGAAATGTGTTACCACAAATATTTTAACCAGAAATACCTGTAAATACTGTAAATACTGAACTTGTCTAAACCTGATAGTATCAAAAAGAAAGCAAACATTATTAATAATTACAGAGGCACATTTTAAGTAACTAAAAGAGTAAGAATACAAATTTAGTATAGATTTCTTTATTCTTAAAAGGACTGATGAAAATTAACAATATACTGTTAAGTAAATACACATGCTTTCAAGTTTATGTAGATTATCAAATATTGATTATTTGGTATCACCTACAAAGTAAGAAGAGTAGGAAGAATTAATAACACACAAGCCATTTTATCTCATCACAATATTAAATCAAGGAAAAAAATAGAGTAAGAACCTCAAATCCCCTAGACAGCAGACATTTAAAATAAATCCCCAAAACCAAAAAAGAAATCATAATTAGATGATATATAAAACTGAATGGCAATGAAAGCATTGTCTCAAAATTTGTAAATACAGTCAAGAAGAAATTTAGAATAAATCCTTAGAAAGGATTTGTAATATTAAATACATATAAAATAATAAAGATGAAAAGTAATGGACTATGGCAAGTTGATTTTAAAATTAATGTGAAAAAGTTTTATAAGGTTTAAGTATGGCAAAATAATTACAGAGAATGTTAATCCTCTCAAATACCAAGAATTAGTGTAAAACTAGTTGAGAAAAAGAAACCAATGGAGCACAATTATGGGAACTGCTTTATTGATTTTTTTAAAGTTGTTATTGTTATGTGCCATTGAGTCATCTGCAAAATATAGAGACCCTATGTAGAACAGCCCTAAACCCTGCTCTATTCTGTGCCAAATGTATTACCTCTGATACACCTACCTCCATTACCCCAGTGACTGAATCAACCCATTTCATCGAGGGTCTTCCTCTCTTGAGCTGTCCCTCAACCTCCCAAGTTTGACATTCTTCTCCAAGGACTGATCCCTCCTTGCAATATGTCCAAAGTAGGTTAGATGAAGCTTCAGAATCCTTGCCTCCAAGAAGCAGCTTGGTTTCACCCTCTCTATGACCTGTTTATTCTCTTAGTAGTCCATAATATATTCAATACTCTTCTCTAGCACAACAGCTCAAAGGCATCAATTCTCCTTCTATCAATCCTAGTCATTGTCCAGCTCTTTGATGCCTATCAAGCAATTGCATAGACTGTGGCCTGGACCATGCACACAGTGTCTCCAGACTGACATCGTTGCTCTTCAATACCTTGGAGAGGGCTCTGACAGCTGACTTTCCCAATGCAACTTGCCTTTTAATTACCTGGCTGGAAAAAATCAAGTGTTGATTGTGGAGCCAAGCAACTAAAACTGTTAACAATTTCAGTCTCCTCACAATCTATCATGATACTGCCAATTGCCAGGGGTGAGAATCTTTGTTTTCTTGATGTTGGGCTTCAATCCATATTGAAGGCTGCAATCCTTGACCTTCTGCAGCAAGCGCTTCAGGTCCTCTTCAGTTTCAGCAAGCAGGGTTGTGTCATCTGTATAACACAAACTGTTGATGAGTCTTCCTCCAATCTTGATGCCACATTTCTCCTCTTAGAGCCCAGCCTCCCAGATAATCTGTTCTGCATATAGGCTGAAAAGGTATAAAGATAGGATAAATCTCTGGCGTACACCCTTCCCAAATCTGAACCATTCAAATGTTTCTCTGCTCTGTTCTGACAATTGCCTCCTGGTCCAAGTATAGGTTTCGCATAAGCTTGATCAAGTTTTCTGGGATTCCCATTCTTCTCAGAGTTAGCCACAGTTAGTTGTGGTCCACACAGTCAATAGTCAATGAAACACAGATGGACAGTCCTCTGGTACTCCCTGCTTTCAGCCAAGATCCATCTAACATTAACTACAATATCCCTAGTACTATGGCCTCTTCTAAACCCAGCCTGCACATCCATTTAGTAAGTCTCTGTTGATGTGCTGTTTCAGTAGTTGTTGGATAATTTTCAGCAGAATCTTGCTTGCATGTAATATAACATTGTTCGCTAATTTCCTTACTCTGTTGGATCAGCTTTTTTTGGAATGGGAACAAATATAGATCTCTTTCAGTCAGTTGACCAGGTGGTTGTCCTCCAGATTTCTTGGCACAACTTGGTGAGCACATCCAGAGCAGCATCTGTTTGCTGAAATATGTCAACTGGTTAATTCCTAGGGTGGTGTTTTTTTGCCAATTCTTTCAGAACAGCTTGAACTTCTTCCCTCATTGCCACAGTCTCTAACTCATATGTTGTTTCATGAAATTTTTCTGTGTCCATCAATTCTTTTTGGTACAATGACTCTCTATACTCTTTCCATCTTCTTTTAATGCATCCTGGATAGATTTATAATTCATTGAAGAAACAATGATAAATATGCATCATAAAAATTCTACCCCTAATTCAAGTAATACAAAAGTATCATTCTCAAGAACAGTAAAGACCTAAATACTAAGGATAAAATTCCTTATTTAGAGGAAAATATCTTTCATACTTTCAGAGAATAGTGTAGCTTAAAGAAAGCACAAAGAATAAACCATATAGAAAAAGACTGATAATAAATCTGATTATATTAAAGTTAAAAGCTTTTGTTTGTACCACAAAGCAAAAATTAAGCCAAATGCAAGAAGATAATTATCATGTCAATTAAAAATATTATCAAGAATATAGAGAGAATTCCTATAAATCAATAAAGAAATCTAAAATTAAAAATAGACACAGTTAACAACCACAACAAAATTTATATAAGAGGAATCCTAATGGACAAGAAACAGAAAAAGATAGTCAATTTAACTAGTAATCAGATAAACAAATTAAATAAGAAGTATGGAGGAAATAAGAAAAGTCTGATGATAACAAATATTGGTGAACAGTTGAGAAATTATAACTGTCACTACTAGTGGTAGAGTAAATCTGTATAACTACTTTAAAGAGTAATTTAGCAATAGTGAGAAATCATAACTGCACAAACTTCCAGTCATACAGAAAACATATATATAAACAGAAATGTGTGTCTGTTGAAGCATCTTATTGCAGAAAAAATTTACATTTTCATTAACATGATAATTAATAGTTATACAATTAATGTATTCAGCTGTTAAAATACATGTTATAGTATTTCATGTATCAAAATGATAATATTTAGCCTAAAAGACAATTTGTAAATAAGTGTAAATAGTATATTATCACTTAAGTAAAGAAATAGTAGACAAACATCACTGTACATCATTTAATGGATGGTCATTATTTGTTGCTAGGTGGCACTGGGTCACCTCTAATGCACAGAGCCACTCTACCACTATGTAGAACAGATTGAAACCTTGCCTATTCAACACCATCTTATAATCTCTGCCATGTTTGAGCCTATTGTTGTAGTCACTGTATCACCTCATTTCATTCTATATGTAAAAAGGATAAGCATATGCAAAAGAGTTATATGCACCAACTACTAAGAAGCCAGGAAATTAAGAGATGAATTGCACTTGGAAAGTGTGCTATCAGAGACCTCTCCAAAGTACTGAAGAGCAACAATGTCAGTCTGGAGACTAAGGTGTGCCTGATACAGGCCATGGTCTTTCCCATTACTTGCTATGCATCAGAGAGCTAGATAATGACTAGGGATCATAGAAGGAGAGTTGATGCCTTTGAGCTGTGGTGCTGGAAAAGAGTACTAAAAATACTATGGACTGCTAGGAGAACAAACAAGTTTGTCCTGGAGAGGGTGAACACAGGTTGCTCCTTGGAGGCAAGGATTCTGAAGCTTTGTCTGACATACTTTGGACATGTTGCAAGGAGGGACTGGTCCATGGAGAGGGATGTCATTCTTGGGAGGGTGAAGGGACAATGCAGGAGAGGAAGACCCTAGACAAGATGGATTGATTCAGTCACTGGGGTAAGAGGATAGGTGTGTCAGAGACAATAAGAATGGCACAGGATAGAGCAGGATTTAGGGCTGTTTTTCAAAGGGTCACTATCATTCACAAGCGACTCAACAGCCCGTAACAACAACAATAAAGAAAAGTAGCTCTGGTAGCCCAGTGACAAGAAGATACACTGCCAACCTTTAGGCAAGAAGTTCAAATCCACAAGCTGCTCTGCAGGAGAAAGATGGCCAATCTTCTCCCACATGATTTACTGCCTCTGAAAAGCCCCTGCAGCTTCAGCTATGAGTCAGTTCCAATTCAAAGGCACTTACCAACAACAACTAGGAAGGAAAGACTAAAAGGGTTGAAGAGTTGTACATATATTTCTATTTCTTGAAATAAAGAAATAATTGAAACAAATATGTTAGCATCCTTGATTCTGGGGAGTAGGCATGTGAGTCTATGTTTATGTGTGTTTTTGTAGTTATAAATTCTTAAATATGCTAATGATTATTCGAGTTGTAGGGTAGATTAGTTATAAATTTTTAAACATGCTAATGATTATTCGAGTTGTAGGGTAGATAAAAGAATGAAGAGAAACAGAGTAGAAATAAGTGCTTATTTATATATTTAATTTACTGAAAATCAAACCATTACACAGTTAATTTCTGGAAATTCTTTGAAAGGTACCTGTATATGTTCTAACACTTACTTGCTCAACTTCTCTATTGAGTGCATCTACTTTTTCTTTCAATCTGTTATTCTCTGCCTCTGCAGTGATGAGTTCCAATTTGAGGGTGTTGTTGTCTGCCTCTGCTTGACGGGCCTTATTTTCCCAGTTTTCAGCATCTTCATTGGCTTTTCGTAGTTGGTCCATCATTTGTCGATTCTCAGATTCCTATAAGAGCAAATCTTAGGTATCAGTCTAAAAATGTCAAACATGTTAACTAATAAAACATTTTTTTCCAGATCATTGGGAATGTACTTGCCATTAGGACTAGTTGTAGCATAATCTTGAGGAAACCAATCTATATTATTATTTTTTTAATTATTTTATATGGGTTTTACTTTAAAAATTTGTATACAAGGGGAGCTCTGGTGGCCTAGTGGCAAGGAGCTGCAACTACAATCCCAGAGGCTCATGGTTCAAATCCACCAGATGCTCTGCCGGGGAAGGAGGGGCAGTCTCCTTCTGTACCAGTCAGATCTGATTTGACGGTACACTCACACAAAAATAATAAAATAAAATTAAAAAATTCGTATACATTGTTTTTCACACCGGGTATTTCCCATTTCTTTCACCCCACCCCTCCTTCCACCTATAAAATAGTGTGGCCTAATGATTAACATCCGCAGCCCCCAGCCCATCCTCAGCCCGCTGCTCCCACCTCCCACCCCCTTGGATCCTCATAATTAATCCACAATAACAGTATTATATAATATTTTTCCCTATGAAACTGAGTTTATTCCCTTGGCAAAATGCTCTCCATTCCCTCCCAAGTTAGGTAGTAATTTACAAAATCATTGCTCCTGTGTGCTGCATAGTCTTCCATAATGTGAATATACCATAGTATCTCCATCCATTTGATTACAGTTGGACATCTGAGCTCTTTCCATGTTCTTGCAATGGTGAATAACAATGCTATGAACATTGGTGTTCAAGTCTCCATTTGTGCCTTAGTTCTCGTTTTCTCAAGGTTTATTCAAAGCAGTAGAATAACTGGGTCATATGGAATGTCTATGTTCAGCTTTTTGAGGAAGCAATACATCAACAATGTATAAGAGTTCCTACATCCTCTCCAACATTTATTACCTGCTCTCCTGTTAAATATTGCCACTGCTACTGGAATGAGATAGTATCTCACTGTGGTTTTGATTTGCATCTTTCTTATTGCCAATAACTTGGAGTATTTCTTCATGTGTCTGTTGGCCATCCAAATATCTTCCTCTGTGAAAATTATTTCCATGTTTTTGTGTAATTGGATTATCAGCCTTTTTCTTATAGAGGCCCAGGAGTATTCTGTAAACTTTTTATTCTTAATCTAGAAAGCTGATCATCTAGTAACTAACAAAGTGGAAAGGGATCAGGGATCTGTGCTGGCTCAAGTCACACTCATGTAGTTAATTACTCTTATCTTCAGGTCATAGGCAAACAGGTTCTTAAATCTGCTATTGTCCAAACAGGAAGCAGTAAAAGAATCTTTCACTGCTTCCTTTTCCCATGTCTGTTTACTGACTATTCTGCTTTCTGAGCTCACCTCTTCTATCTGTATATAACTTTGTTCCTGGTTGCTTTTCTATGTTTTATTGGCTACAGAACTTCTTTTTTGCTGTTTGAAGCATTAACTTCTTTTTTTTTTTTTTTTAAGCGTTAACTTCTGATCATTTTCTTGGTTTGGCACATTATCTCTAGTTTTTCTGCCTTTCATTTCTAATGCCAATCTTAATTACCTTGATCTTGATTGCTGTATGATTTATTTCTATCCACTTTTCTAATATCTTTTCTGTAATTGCACAGGAGTGAAACATCAATCCTATGCCAATAAAAAATATTCATATGCATACATTCATGCCTAGTGGTAAGAAACTGCGCTGCAGTCCCAAAGGCACGCTGCTTGAAGCCATCAGCTGCTCTGCAGAAGGATGAACCATCTTCTGCCATGCAATTGACTGTCTCTGAAAACTCACTGGAGAGTCAGCTATAGGTCAGTTCCTCCTCAACAGCACACAACAACCACAACACATTCATGCATATATTGGGCATTGGGCATTAATATAGCTAGCACCAGAATTGTTTAAATTTTAAAAATGCCCGTAATGTAAATAGTCCAAATGTCCAACGACAATAGAATGAATTAAAAAACTATGGTATATTCACACAATGGAATGCCACGCAGCACACAGGAGCAATGATTTTGTAAATCTACTACCTAACTTGGGAGGGACTGGAGAGAATTATGCTGAGGGAACTAAGATATTTCCATAAGGACAAATATTGTCCTTAAACCCAGTATAGTAGAATGAGTGTGAGGATCCAAGGGGGAGAAGGGTGGGAGCAGAGGGGTGAGGATGGGCAAGGGGTGGGGAGTGGTTAATTATAGGATCTCACAATTTGATAGGGGGATGGAATGGAACAATAAAGGAAATAGGAAAGATCCAGTGTGGAAAGCAATGTACACAAACACTGTAAATAAACCTGTATTCTGGGAATATATACCCAGAAAAGAC